AACACAAGGTTTCGATAGACGCTAGTTGATGAAGAATATGGACACGTTTTATGAGCGCTGTTCTGATCTCATTTGGACATGTTCAGATTCCCTTACCTTTCCGGAAAACATTATCTCCTTGTACTCATGGTGAGCAAGTTTGGAAAATGGTTTGGTTTAGCAACTAGCAGAGTCAGCCATACGGTTGTTTAAATAGATATTTGTGAAGTTCTGGAATACACTACAAACGACGTGGGTCTATAAATATAACGTAACCCGGTATTGGGGGGAAATGTAATACAGAAGCATGATCAGCTATTATTTCGTCTTTCGAAAATTTGGACAGTGAAGAGGAACGTTGATGTTTGCAAGTGAAGAATTGTTAAGATGCCATTAGTTACTGTGAAGGGAAGAATCCGTGACACATTCCAAGATAGGAATCTTTCCTGTTTGTGTCTTCGGTTCATGTCGTCTTTTCAGATCCGTGATATGCGACCATCATTATTTGATTATATATTATTAGATATTCGTATAAATATAAATGGGGCAAAGAAGTAATTCCGACAGTGTGGACAAGTTTAGGTTGTCATATTTTCGGAGCGATCCGCTCCTTTATCAAGACACAGTGAAACAGAACAGTTACATGTACATATACATCATATTACAAGAAGATAGAACTGATATACTATAATTGAACGGATCGCTCCGAAAATTTTGACAACCTAAACTTGTACACAAATGTGTATAAACAAGGCAAGTCAGAGAAGCAATTGATGTTGAATTTATTTACGTTTCATTTCACGTTCAATATAAGTATAATCATATTGTACTCGCATATGGTTTAATATAACTTGGAAATATTTCAAGTTACATTTATCATCAACAAAAGTATTCACCATATCGAGACAAGAACATAGTCATTATATACCATTGATTTACAATGTTACATGTGTACAACAGTTGACGACTTATAAGTGTGTAGATTAAGTAGATAAACATGACATAACAAAGACAAACCTGGAACTGTGTCCGTCTTCATAAACTTCAATGCATGTTGGTCTTTTTTTTTTTTTACCTTTTACCTGCAAATTAGCTGTAATTCCATGTTTTTATCGTTTCAGATAGCACAAGTTTATTGTCCAAATGTACATATCCCTGTGAGCTAAGCATACTCGCCAGGACAATAAACATGTGCTACCTACGACGACAAATAAAGACAAGCAGTATCGCTGTTATATAAAACAAAGCTGTTCCTTAGGAATACTTCATATCTTATGTATAAATTTTATAGTAATAAGCGCTGTAATGAAATACTCAGGGTCATCTCGGGGGCAACAAGCCCTCTAAGAGATGGTATGGTCACCCAAAATTTTCAATTTCATGACAGTCATATATATATAATAATAACATCAATCCAACATGTCAACAATTTTCTTTGTACATGGATTGGAAAAGCATCACTGGCTTACAGAATTACTCTGTAATATGCCCCCTATACAAATTCTTAAGCATTATTGTGTAGGTTATCTTTGTATTATTTTCAACAAGCAACATATGACAACTATTATCTGACCTTATCACAATTCTGATAGATTTATTATCTTAAACAGAATAAATTTGTTTCAGATTAAATATTGTTAAGGGCAAGTGTTTTCAAGCTAGTCCAGGGCTGCATAAAATATGTTTACATTATCCAACATTCCTATTCCCTATATATACATGAAATAATGTGTAACTTTAAATCGTGTCATCTAGTTATCCCACAGCTGTCTCCCTTGGTCTGTGTCATCTAGTTATCCCACAGCTGTCTCCCTTGGTCTGTGTCATCTAGTTATCCCACAGTTGTCTCCCTTAGTCTATATGGTGTTCTAGTGAAATCTTCTAATAAAAACGTTTACAACCTTCAGTTTGATAAATTATTGCTGTTAAAAATTAAATTCAAATATTGATGGAATTTATAACAAGTTATGGTGAAATAATCTATAAAATTTCACTAACTTAAAATGCCACCATGAAAAAAAATGTTACGTTATCTTGATCAACTTAACTATTCATAGACAGTTTCAACAACCAATTTCATTCCACATAATTTATATACACCTTCAATTAGGTGGAAAGTTTATGCAGGAATATCATGGTACAGTATTGTAGATATTACCTCTAGAAGTCAAGTATCATTAGTAATATGTATATAAATACCAGATTATACCTACATGCCGAAATCCATCGATGACCTTTCCTGCAGCACAAACTCTACTCAAAGCATCTTCAAAATCACTAGAAGACCAGTTTAAGTATCATGAAATAATTTAACAATATTTTGAGATTTTGACCAATAATTAATCTCAAGGATCTAGTAATAACATATTATTTTATGTTTCCTAACGAAACACTAACACATACAGTTGTCGACAAAGCAGTTACAACAGTGGGAATAGTTCAAGCAAAACAATGGTATCCACAATCTATATACCTTTCAGACAATACATACATAGAAAAACGTCTCAAAAACTAGCAGAATTGCACTATCAGACCCAATAAATAAACTTTTGAGTCAAAATTGTAAATCATGAATTCCATTCATCATCTCAGTCTGTGGAGCATAAATAAGTTACACTTATAGCATGTGCAAATCTGTCAGAAATATAGTACGCAGTGGGGGGGTTGGGGGTGTCACAGAGGATATATCAGAAGTTACCATGGTAACTACAGCACTCAGGGGAAAGTCATACTGGATAAGTGAGCAGTTACCACGGCAACTACAGGCGGGGTCACAGTAGAAAATCTGAATAATTTAGTAGTTACCATGGTAACGATAACACCAAATGGTTGATGACTGTGTGGTTACCATGGAAACAAGTACAGGAGATATTGAAATATACTCTCACAGTTACTTACAGTCAGTGGATTAAAATGTGTGTTGCATACATCATACTTTCATAAAATGTTGTTATTCTTATGAAAGGGTATATGTAACACTATTTGCATTTACTTGATCAAGGTTTCTTTTTGTGATTTTTGTCAATTAAGTATATCAAACACAGATCAGCCTGTAAGAACTTATACCTAATCCCTTTGATACTAATCAACAGAACATATCTAAATAAATTGAAACACAGCTTAATTGAAGATGTTTTAAGCATTCAGATTCTAGTTATGACAGGTATGCATATGTTTACATCAGATCACCTTTTACAATAGGACAGACACAACCCTGTCTCCATCTGTTGATACTCCTTCCATGATGGAAACACGGATACCTGTCCTGCTCTCATCATGGTAACCAAGACAGGTGTAACGGTCAATTTAGCAATAACCGGGAAAGGGAAAACAATCTCAAAAAATTCTTTTACACATCGACATAACACAATGTAAAAGTGAATCACAAGAGATGAAGGCATGAAACAAGTATTACAGTGAATATAAGATGTGTTTGAGGATGATAACTACTACCAGTTAACTCATTTACCCCTGAAGACACATTTAAACTCTTCCGATTCAAAGGTTGGAATAGTTCATTATGAAATTTCAGGGGTGAATGATTTAACTATAATTCGTAATTTAGCAGCGAAGGTTATGACAGAATTTCTAGTTACAGCTTCAGAATTTATTCAACGTCTATAACAATAACTATAATAATACTAGTAGCAGCAGCATTCGCAAGAAATATATTAAGAGTTACTTCCCTTACCTCTATGTGCTACTGATTAGAATCAAATCTTCTTGTCCTACTGATAAAACAGCTCCAAGAAGAATAAATACTAATTTACAAATAAACAAAACTCAATAATCATTTAAATATTTCCAAATAAGAGTACATCACCTATGTACTCACCAATGTACCGGAACGTTTTCCTTGGCTATAATGGTTAACACCTGGGATGAAATACATTTCAAAATGAAAGACATTCTTTCTTTAATGTAATACTGTAGACTATTTATACCCAATATAAGAAATACGTGTTGAGTGAAATGCAAAATGATGACCTCACAAGTAAGCAATGGAAGATCAGTTGATAAAACAAATATTATTATAAGTAATCCACAGTATTTTTGATGATATCATACAAATGAAATTTCCATAAAAGACTTAGCCGAAAAAATATATGTGGATTCTGTTTTAATTAAAATTTAATAATATTTTCATGATGTTGAATTAAAAATCAGTGGCAGACAAAGTGTTCGGACTAATGGAGGGGTTCGAACAAGTGACTGAGATTCAAACCAAGAAACGGGAACTTCTGGGTTCTCAATTTGACAAAATATCCAATCTTTGCTTCAAAAATAAGTGATGAGCCCAAAAGTCACCTGTACCCTCCCAAGATCAACCAATGGTGAGATAAATAACTTCCTAATATGACAAAGAAGAAAGAATATAGTATCTTTACATGCAATTCTATCAGCGATGCTATACATATGATGTGTGATAATCTTCGAAAATAATGCATGAAATGATATTCTATGAAGATAGCTATCCTGTCTTTCTGGGGTGAAATATGAACAGATTCTGGGGTGGAATAAACAGTAGTATCCCAGGTCTGCGTCACTTTATGTCACTAACCAATGTTGAAAAAAGTGTTTTATCAAAAGAAAAATACTATTGTTTTCTCTCTCTTTTAAGTAGAGACAATATACCATTTCGTACCTTAGAAAGGGATTTAATACACAACACCGACAAGAAACGTTACAGACTGAAAACATACGTAATGTTATCACGTTGCTAAACTGTCCTATATTTACCACAGCAAGCCATCTTAAACAATATCCATCCCTTCCAACAACATATTGGCCCCCATGTTCAGTTTGTTTCCACTTTTACACAACACATCATTCGCACAAAGCAATAACAATACTTTTTATCACATTCAACTTTTGGCATATACACTGAACACATCATAAACCCAGTCAAATTTGTACATGTCTACTGATCCAACGTTACTCAATGAAGCTTTAACAGGTTAACCGACTTATTTCCGTTTACTAGAATCTGTTGTGCCCAAATCTAGACTCTGCCACTCATCCATGTCGTCATCGTTAGCCCAGACTTCATTGTCCCAACCTGAATTTCCATTGGTTTGTGAGGGAGTGTCCTCTCCGAGGTCTACAAGGTTTCCAACCAGTGGCTCCTTCTGCTTCTTGGGGGAGGAGAACCCGTCACCCCAGTCTGCATCGTCCCAGCCTTCATTACTCTTGCTGGCTGTCTTGGAAGACTTTTTACTTTGGTTTTTAGGACTAGACTTTTTACTTTTATTTACTTTATTGTCTGATTCGCCCCAGTTGTCCCACTCACTCTCATCCTTTTTGGGTTTTGAAGACTTTGATTGAAGGGGCTTCTCATCATTAAGCCATGCTTCGAATTCATCCTCTTCCGTATTCCTGTCCTCCGAAAAACTCTGATCGTTGTAATCGCCGGATTGTAATTTCTTCTGTTTTTTCTTGCCGTCCTGCCAGTCACCTTCCCAGCTGTCCCACGAATCCTCATCCGACAAAAGACGATTTTTACTTGGATCTCTACAATGAAGAAATTTCAAAATGAGTTTAAATCTCCAACAAGCTCCTGGAACTAAAGCTCAGATTTTTACTGGGATACCAGCAATTAGCAAAATGTCAAAAAAAAACAACAGTTTCAATATTGAATCAATATTCACTAACTACAGTCTAAATCATTTACTCTGCTATGCTCAATATTTGATTATCTAGCCTGGAAAAACATTATGAAAGGAACTGTTGAATAAAAACAGTGAAAAGGCTTGTTTGACTTATATTCCCACATCGAAAATACGTAGTGAAATGTATGCCATGATATGTCTATGCTGTTTCTGCATACCCAATGACACACCGTCATCACTTATCATCCAACATCTAAATGCCGCCAGTGAGAACAGATTATCATAGCAATGTATGTCATTTCTCCCCTGGGAATAAAGGAATAAGCAAATTTATCTTGGAGTTTCATCTATTGAGCACAAGCTTTACCTCTGTGGAGACGCATTGTCTGTGAGCAGAGAGGATTTCTCCCCCGGACTGGTGTCCACCGATGACAAGGTGGTCTTAGGCTCCCCCCACAGAGACTGGAAGTTGGTCCATCCCTTCGAACTGGCAGACGACAGCTAGAAAACAAGGATACAGAATGTACACAAAGCAGTCTTATCTTACTTTACACATTATACATGAGGTACAGTATCAGCACCAACATCAACACTGGCTCGTGCTTGTAGGCTTAGTTTACACACAGTTATAACACACACATTTTTAACTCATTCACCCCTGACATTTCATAATGAACTATTCCAACCTTTGAATTGGAAGGGTTCAAATGAGTCTTCAGGGGTGAAATATGAGTCAAATCATAGCCTGTTTATACTCCCCACATTGAAGGAAAGGGTGTTGTATACTGGAATCATATGGTGTCTGTCTGTCCATCCATCTGTCTGTAGACAGAAGTTTGGCCAGCACAACACTTCTTAACTTCTCACCTAATTTTTAGGAAACTTGGTACAGATGAGCGGCACCTTAATTTTTATGTCTATGATTTTCTCAGATGATATATTCCTTTTCTGATTTCATTTTATAAATCTTGTCAGACGGAGTTATGCCCTCTTTCAGGTTTTCCATTTATAAATTTTGTACAAAGTACTGCTCCTTTCCTTCCAAACAGACGTTTAAGATAGTTTGTACACAACCAAACAAAATCTTCTTAACAGATGTTTAAGATAGTTTGTACACAAACAAAACCTTTCTGATGTTAAAATTAAATCCAGAACTATATCCTTTGAAAGAAAATTGATGTAACAGTTTGTCTATGTCGTTATCACTTTTAATCTCTGCTACAAACTGCATGTTTATAACACTTTATAGAATGAGGTGATAAATATCTGATGCAGGCAGCATGATATATATGGCCTTGACGATTCCTACCACCTATATACATGTAATTATAGTTCAAGCTTAACCGTATCACCCCTGAAATTTCATAATGAACTATTCCAACCTTTGAATTGGAAGAGTTCAAATGTGTCCTCAGGGGTGAATAAGTTAACCTGGTAATGTTGTTACTGTATCAGGCCTTACAATATTCCAGTACACTGAACATGAGACAGACCATACATTATAAGTGTAGTGTATCAGATAGTGATGGGCAATCATTTTAAAATCATAATTGATAATCAGTTCTTATTCGGAAGTAGTAAACCGATTGAAGATCAATTGCATAATCGATTTGCAATTTTATAGGACTAAATACTCAAATAACGTGAGAACACTACTAATGCATCAATAGACAGAGTTGTTCACTACACATCAGCTTTCATTCTTTTATAAGGAATATATTTCAAGCAGTTTTTATGCAGTTTTGCCAATCATAATAGTGAAAATCGTAAGAATAAATGACTCGATGCACACATTACATTGTAGATATTTGACACTCTGATTTCAATAACGAACTGTTTATATCAGTTATGGCATTTGTAATTGATAATCAGAATTGGAAAGGGAAAACCAATTGATTTTCCATTATAATCGATCATCAGCCATCATTAGCATCAGATCTTCACTCTTACATTGTTCCACCACCCTTAACATGGTGCAGCCCCTTGTAGTATTTCAGACCTTACAATAAATTAAAATAGGCTATGAATTTTAAAATGTCTTCAAAGTACTGGAATTCACTGACTGGACTGTACTGTACTGTGCCACCTTTCACCACTGAGGGCCAAATGTTTGATTCCTGCAGCAGATAGCTAATAAAATTTGCACTACTGAAATTAAATTTCATTTAACCTGAAATTTCATTTTAATGAACTCATTATTTTCTGGTATGATGCTCCTAACTGGAAGCTTTTCTAAATTGATCATTCAGTTGGTAAAACATTAACTACAATGTTCAACAAATTAAAGTTGAATAATAATACATAACGTTGGATACAAAACAATACTGCTTTCATACCTCATGAAAGTGTGGGTATGTATGGTAGCTGTTTTCTTAGAGTATCACAGCAGTAAACAGCATTCACTGTGATAGTATACGTATTGCTGAATTCATCTGCTACTTAATTAAGTTACTGTAACTTCTAAAACTAATCAATGAAATGGTAATCTTTGTTAAGAGTCTGTAATGCGAATTAGTTGCAGAGTTCAAATGTACCTTCAGGGGTGAATGAGTTAATAGGGTTCTAGAATACACTGAAAATTTTTCACGACAAACTGTGATAACTTAATCATATCTTTTACTTAAAATTCTACTGTCCCATAGCTTTGACTTTGAACAGGGTTTTACCGGTACATATGTATATACCCTTGTGACCTAAAGGTCCTTTCTGTACATACCTTTGATGCAAAGCCACTCATGGAGCTGCCGACTTCATTCAACAGTTGTCCTTCTTTTACCTGGAAATATATATTTAGCATAATGAGTAAGAATTTATTTCAAAGTCTATAATTTCAGATTTTTACCTGAAAAACATAGTTTTGAATTTCCACAATTTTTATCCAGAAATCAAGTTTTTAATTTTCACATTTTACCCGAAATCAACTTTTTAATTTCGACATTTTTATCCGGAAAAAAGATTTTTTTACTCCTATTCACTTTACCCGTCCTCATATGACCCTGGCTGTCGGGAGGACGTTGATATTCATTTTATATCGGAAAAGGAATTTCCATTATGTCAATGAACAATTACGTTTTCATTTATTTGAATATCATAAGCATCCATAATGAAGAATTGCAAATCTTTAATACATAATATTTAGTTGTCTTTCTCCAATATCTGATCAAAAGGAATTTTGAATATATTCCTTTCAATGTGAACATTTATCTATATAAGTAAACTTCTAGAATGAAGAACGGTATATCTTTAATACTTCATTCCAGTTGTCCTTTCTCCAATATCAGAATGCTACAAAGTTTAAGGATCAGAAAGAAGTTTTTAATCATAGAACTTTCCCTAAACAAGGAAGTTCTAGAACCGTGAAGACTGACATCTGACTGCAGGTAATCAGAGATTGTCTCTCTAAAGGACTAAACATTGTCACTAACAAATAACAACAAACAATGCTAACTAAGGGTAAACTAAAGGAAAAATACCAAAACAGCATGCAAAGTAATAAATGTATTAATAAACGAGTCTGATTACAGAAAAAAGGTAAAGTTTCAGGCCTTTCAACTCACAACAAATACGAGGGCTTCCTTAAATGTCCTGATATCCAAGCTGAGACATTACAATTATGTATGTACCAGATTGTCATGTGGAGTTCGTTCAAGTTACCAGTTATATTGGTCAGAGTTGGTGCAGGTGTACTGTATTCTAAGTGGTCTTTACACACTATTAGTAATACAGGGTTGCCAAGTCTCACGGCATGAGACAAAATCTCACGCTGAGACGTCCTAACTCACGCTAAAGTGTGTCTCACGCCACGTGAGCCATCAATCTCACGCTGAGACGTCCTAACTCACGCTAAAGTGTGTCTTACGCCACATGAGCCATCAATCTCACGCTGAGACGTCCTAACTCACGCTAAAGTATGTCTCACGCCACGTGAGCCATCAATCTCACGCTGAGACGTCCTAACTCACGCTAAAGTGTGTCTCACGCCACGTGAGCCATCAATCTCACGCATTCCAAAATGTTCTCCCTCCATGTTACGCGAAGCCGTGAAATCGGGAAACTTTTAGCTTGGACCGTACTAAGGGGAATAACTCCAATTGCAATGTCATGTTTTGGATGTTAGCTTGTGCGAGGCGTCACTTTACAGTACATCCGGTGGAAACAAAAGTAAATACATCGTAAGGCGAGATCAACAATCCAGAAGCTATAGTAGTCAGAGAAAGAATCTCAACACCTGAAACGACGTAACACCGCGACGTCGTCTAAAGTCTCACACCTTGGAAAACCCAGTGGAGGGCTCCTTACAGGTTGGCAACCCCGGTAATATTAATGTTATGTAGTAATACACTGGGTATTAGTTCTAATGTAAGTCAGTAAGGGACTGGAGTGTACCTTGTCCTTAGTGGGTTTGATGACAGACTCGTTGACTGATTGGCCGAGTTCCTTGGTCTTGGCTGCAGTAAGATTCGCTACATGTGATGCCTAGGGGTCACAACAACATTCATCATAACATAACACAAAACACAACAACTAGGGAGTGAAATAATCAAATAAAATCATACATACATTGTATTAAATCAATCTTAAAAAGCTTTGGTAAAAAGAGAAAAAACGTACATTCCACAACTTATAATGTGCTAGAGAATTCAAAAGGATAAACATACATTTACTAAAATAAAGTCACATGAATGAGTGAAATTGGTAGCCTACTGGAAAGTATAATGCTGCATTTTCCCAAATACCATTACCAACAATGCAAAAGACCTGGCTAACTTTCAAATATATTATGGTGTTTTTGTTCACATTTTGCCCTTAATGATTCTTGTCCCGCTGCACGTAAGTTTTTCGTATATACAGTAACCTCCCCTTAGCTTCGGTTTGGATATTACTGTAGCACAGTTAGGCCAGAAAACTACCATTGACTCAGTGCTACAGTAGCTCAGGTGGTTAGTGATAGTGTAACAGTCGGAAGTCCAGGGTTCAAATCACGATCTACCCCCGCTAAATTCTTCATTCAGAACACTTATTATTGATTAAATTTTGTTTATTTCGTCTTCATTATTTTTTCAAGTCCTTCAAGGTGTGTTTTTTTCTTTTCAGAAATGATTTATCAAAGCTGTAGTCATGATGCCAGAAAACGTTTTTCCAATATTTCGTTACAGTATTTGGCAGTGGTTTGAGTATCCTGAAAAGGTCAACAGTTATATGTACCCTGTAAAACACTACACATACAAAGCAGTGCAGTAAACAGTCATATACATTGTACTGACTACAACATTCCCAGGCTTCAGCCTTATGAAGAGTTTTATTAAGGTTTCCCCATCAGTACAGCGTTATATGCTTTCTGCTATACATTGTAAGTCACTCGAGCCATTTACTATATCTCAGTCAGCACCATCCAGCACAATTTTATGAGTAAAGACCACCTGCATGTCTCAGAGGCTGGCTTTATCGCAGAATAATGCGAGCCAGTTTTGGAAAAAGGTAGAGATGGCATGATAGACCTCCATAATGCATTGCACAGAATTATGGCCCTGTGTAAAATAAAACATGTCTAAAACTAACTGGAGACCGAAGTACAGGCATGAAACCTCTCACTGTAAAATAATGAAGATTTATGTATGGCATTTTCAGCTTTACCACATTTCACGTACATAGCATCTGTGTGCTTGAAACTTTCAAAAAAAAAAAAATAGAGGTGTTAACTGGAAAGAACACTCGACATTAAACAAATTTATAACAGTTGGACAACTTGTTCGATAAATTAAAGCGATCTGCCTATGAAGATAATTCTGAATACATGTTTATTGTAGATTGTAACATAAACGAGAATCACAACATTTACGCAGTCTCATTTCAAAATGCCACCGGAATCATTACCGAGCTACACCTATTACATTTAGGTGTGACATTCTGTGTGGCATATGTCTGATGCTGTTTTAACGACACATTTATTATGATTTAGTTTTTGTTCCTAGATTTTCAGTCCTGAAATCTACACTAATGGCTTCACTTTCTGTCGACAGTTCTGCCGCAGTTAGATCAAAATATCAGGATGACCTAAATGCTAAACCAACGGATATTTCACTCTCTGTGTGCATGCCTTTATATTCAATAACTCTACTGGTAGTCTGGGAGTCATTTTATAGTGCAACGTGTTGGTTTTTACATACAAAATGTATATGAAATTAAATTTTCTGCTTATTATACTGATCAACAATATTTAATATTTGCTCAAAATCACCAGAAAAAGACAAGAACAGGGTGCTCTGTCTATAACTGCGCGAATTAGCAGCATTGCTTGCGATGCATTTAAAGTACAACTCTTCTTAAGCTGTTAGTTACCGAATTGGAAATTATCATCTTGTTGGTTGCTACGGAAACAAATGCATTTCTCTGAAAACAGTCTGCCGAATTGCCAGTCTATCGCTTCGGGATTATAATCAAGAACCCAACATTTTCTCCACTTGCCAATTTAGCTAAGTGTACAGCTAGAACTGCTTCATCAGTTTGACGTTTTAAGTTGTTGGCATCTAAATACATGTTTTCATGTACATGGCATATATATAGGATCTTACATGAGTTTCCATTTCATTTGAGATTTATGAAATGAGTCTAAGAATTTTTAGAATTAACGAGCCTCTGGCGAGCTAAAATGAAAAATTTGTGATGAGTTTCATAAATTTCATATGAAATGAAAATGAGTGTAAGATCCTCTTTATCACATAATCAAGATTTGTGACATTTACTCGTGTAAAACGACAATTTCCAAGCAACCTTGAAATGAAAAAAGGCGCTATTTTGAGTCCAATGCATAATTCTGTGACGTCATGTACTTGTCCTAGGCATGACGTCACAATTGAAACAGTTGAAACTAACAACCAGTCACAGGGCTGATAGGTCATATTACATGGGTTATTAAGCAAAAAATATGTCATGGGTATATTCACTGGACAACACAGTACATTATGTGATAAAATGTCATACATAGGCACTCCTAGTTTGAAATAATTGACTAGGAGTGCCTATGACTAAAGATCTCCTTTTAAAAATGTTTGGATGGGGAAAAGATCCGTCCCAACATCAAACATTTTAAAAGTAGAAGTTCTTTTTTCGAACTAAGGCACTCTATAGTATAGTTACCCCTTAGTTACTTGACTGAGGCCAGGTAATGCCTTACCTAGTGGTGTTATATCTAACTCAGGCCCGAGATATCCTAGCCTTTCCCCTTAGTTACTTGACTGGGGCCAGGTAATTCCTTACCTAGTGGTGTTATATCTAACTCAGGCCCGAGGTATTCCACATGTATTCATAGCCCTCCACATGTGTTCATAGCCCTCCACATGTATCCATAGCCCACCAGATGTATCCATGGCCCTCCACATGTATCCATAGCCCTCCACATGTATCCATAGCATTCACATGTATCCATAGCCTTCCACATGTATCCTTAGCCTTCCACAGGTATCCATAGCCCTTCACATGTACCCATAGCCCTCCACATGTATCCATAGCCCTCCACATGTATCCATAGCCCTTCATGTGAACCCATGGCCCTCCACATGTATCCATAGCCCTCCACATGTATCCATAGCCCTACACGTGAACCCATGGCCCTCCACATGTATCCATAGCCCTCCACATGTATCCATAGCCCTCCACATGTATCCATAGCCCTTCACATGTATCCATAGCCCTCCACATGTATCCATAGCCCTCCACATGTATCCATAGCCCACCAGATGTATCCATAGCCCTACACATGTATCCATAGCCCTTCACATGTATCCATAGCCCTCCACATGTATCCATAGCCCACCACATGTACCCATAGCCCTCCACATGTATCCATAGCCCTTCACATGTAACCATAGCCCTCCACATGCATCCATAGCCCTCCACATGTATCCGTGGCCCTTCACATATATCCATAGCCCTCCATGTGAACCCATGGCCCTCCACATGTATCCATAGCCCTTCACATATATCCATAGCCTTCCACATGTATCCATAGCCCTCCACATGTATCCATTGCCCTACACGTGAACCCATGGCCCTCCACATGTATCCATAGCCCACCACATGTACCCATAGCCCTCCACATGTATCCATTGCCCTACACATGAACCCATGGCCCTCCACATGTATACATAGCCCTCAAAATGTATCCATAGCCCTCCACATGCATCCATAGCCCTCCACATGTATCCAGAGCCCTCCACATGTATCCATAGCCCACCAGATGTATCCATGGCCCGCCACATGTATCCATAGCCCTCCACATCTATCCATAGCCCTCCACATGTATCCCTAGCCCTCCACATGTATCCATAGCCCTCCACATGTATCCATAGCCATTCACATATATCCATAGCCCTCCACATGTATCCATAGCATTCACATTGTATCCATAGCCCTTCACATGTATCCATAGCATTCACATTGTATCCATAGCCCTCCACATGTATCGATAGCCCTTCACATGTATCCATAGCCCTACACGTGAACCCATGGCCCTCCACATGTATCCATAGCCCTACACGTGAACCCATGGCCCTCCACATGTATCCATAGCCCACCACATGTATCCATAGCCCTCCACATGTATCCATAGCCCTCCACATGTATCCATAGCCTTCACATGTATCCATAGCCCTTCACATGTACCCATAACCCTCCACATATATCCATAGCCCTTCATGTGAACCCATGGCCCTCCACATGTATCCATAGCCCTTCACATATATCCATAGCCCTCCACATGTATCCATAGCCCTTCACATATATCCATAGCCCTCCACATGTATCCATAGCCTTCACATGTATCCATAGCCCTTCACATGTACCCATAACCCTCCACATGTATCCATAGCATTCACATGTATCCACAGCATTCACATGTTTTTCATTTAGTGGAGGTAAAGACAAAACAACACACGTTTATCACTCAGTGCTAAAGTGTCCTAATTAAGCATGTGTGTCTATTGATTGATGACGGACACTCCTGTTGTCAGCTGATCAGAACACTAGATATCTCCACGGGGATAACACTGTATCTACCAATTTTTGTAATCAATTACAAGGACAGGTAATTACTCAGTGGCGAGATAAAAACAGAAAAATGTTTCCGTAATTTATTTGTATGTTTCTACCAATAAACCAATATACCTTAATACACATTACTGCCAAAGCCTTTATTGACACCTGTGACCATATCAGGTGCGAACAGGCTAGCATACACATGTAACATGTCATTATATTTTCCAATGCCTCAGCTAGGAGTCGAACCCAGGACCTCTGGTTTACTAGTGTTATGCTCCACGGAATGAGCTACAGAGAATCTGTCCCTAGCCGAGTCAGTAAGGACACGGCTAGTATTTTACCAGGGTGACACACACTTAGTACTACCTACACTGTAACAGCCAAAATATTCTTTTTCAAGTTGCAAGCAATTCACTGTTTACTTTCTTACAGATTTCGTA